GATACCTATCATAATGCCTGCCATTTGAAATAAATAAATGTTTCACATAAAATTTGGACTGTAGTAATTTTTAAGTAAAGGTAAAACTGACATTCATTTTTCACATTATTTCAATGATTTTAAGAGTCAAAAATATGTCTGTGAGTTTGACATTTTAATATCGAGGAAGTATATCAAATTCAACTAATAATGGTTGCTAGCTTCTAGGGATAAAGCATTAACAGTGAATCATTTCATTTTAAGATTCACTCCAGGTTTGAATTTAAAATTACATGACAAATTCAATAGCTTTACGTTGATATTTAAATGTATTTCTCTTGAGTAATTATTTTCTTCAAGCGTTTTTCACTTCACCTATTCAATATAAATATTTTTTGTAAATAATTCCTATTTACCAATAACAGACATTCTTTCGAATATTTCGACCAATGGAAGAGCAAGGTGCATATTCTAAAAACCTTTTCTTTCACAAACTTGTTTTTTCATGGAAAACTTTATTCCTCTTGGTAAACCATTTACTAATCTTTCAACTTTCAACACACTCATAATATGTTATATTTGCGTTTTAATGCCTTTTATGACGAGATCTATCCTAGTAAAGCCGATAGAATATAATTTCTTCACTTAATCGTAAATTTTGATGCCAGTAGTGACTACTTGGGACTTTGTCAATCCTTCAATTGACCTAGTTCTAAGTCCATTTAATCATATCAACGAATTAGTATAAAATTTTCACAGAAAGTATTTGATTCTGTATACAATTTACTGATGAACGTGATATCTACCAATTTTATATAACTCACAATCGTGGCTTTAACAATTTTGAAACTTCTGCCCATTTGATACTCAGCTCTAAGAGAGGTTAGTGACATTTGCAGTAGATACTGGTCTATGTGCTAATCCTCATTATTTGCATATAATTTGCTTGTAAACATTTTCAAGTGGTTTATTTGAGAGCGCATTGTCATACATAAATGAAGTTGAAAAATCTTGCAGAGAGAAGAGTGTGATATATAAATTGACGTAAACTATGATTAAATTTAACGTGACCTTTAGTTCTTCTATGGCATACAATTATGCCCTTATTTTTTTCCAATAGATCATGTAATATGACGAAGTTAATCGACTAAATCTTGAGTTAATATTATTCATATTTCCAAGTCCATATTAGATCAAGTTAAAGAAACTTCGCTCTTTACTGATCGATAAACCTGGACGGAATATGGCGGCTAATTGAAAATGCTTCACGTCATGATTGTTACTGTCCCTTCGTTTAGTAGTCCAGATGACTCACTTCTTGAACAATTAACAAATTATTGATTTTTTTGTTAGTGCACAATAATTTATTACACGAAACGGTCATCTGACTTAAAATCGATCAACACCTTAATTGAGTCTTTTGAAACCTTTAATATAAAAGGTTTTTTGAATGTAATTTTTCATTGGAAATCAATTTTAAGTGCTAGTCTTCACGTAATGCTTATAATTTGGTGTTCTTGAATGCCACTAGTCATTAGAGAAGTAACTAAAACCAATTTTGATGAGCTTTTCATTCATCCCTCAATTCCTTTTTCATTCAAATCGTTCATTTTCTCCAACCTACTTTTAAGTTGAACCTTTTTTAAACTTTTCAGTAATCGACATTTCATAACAATCACATTTATGTAATCTCAAATGGAGACCACTGGAGTTAAGTGGGGAGGCTACCTGAACTTTTTAGGAAATTCGATGACCAGTGGGACGTGCATGTCTATAAAGTCCGAGACCACGGGGGTTAGGCATTTATCAGCACGTGTGCAATGAAAGCGACTTGCGAGACTAATTAAAAGTGAGAAAATCAAAATGAAGGCTTTTAATTAGAGACACGCCATCACTCTAAGCACTTTATTAGTTTAGTTTAACCGTGATTTTTAATCAATCCGTCGATCCTCTTAATTTTGTAAAGTAACTTTGCCCTTGCTCATACCCCCAACAATGGTTCACTATTTCTTCGGCTCCACTTAAGATGAGCTTCATAAATTACGAGTCTGGTATCGAAATGCGCACATGTCAAAACGTTGCTCTAGACTAAAGGATACAAATGATTTATTAAACTGAATTTGTTTTATGCTTCAATTCGAGTTAGAGAATATATAGAACAAATGGCAAATGAATGGTTTTTCACGATCGGTACACGGCATGCAGGCAAAGACATCGAAAGAGAGAAAGAAAAGAGACTGGGACACAAAAAGACGAGAGAGAGAGAGGGTGAGTGAGTGAGGGAAAAGCATGAGGGCACGATTGACAGAAATCTAAAGCGAGAAAAGAGGGAGCGGGAGGGGGAGGGGGAGAGAGAGTTGCAATGGCAGATGTCAAATACTGGTAAAAGGGGAGACAAATTAAAACGGTAAGGGCCTCGAAATAGTTCCTTCGAAATCGATAAGCAGAGGTTATCTAGGTATCTGGCATCAAGCAGTTTTCAAAGACGCCGTGATTGGTTGCTCGCGGTTAGACAGAGGGAGGGGATGTGGGAGGGGGGGGGAGGGGGTAGAGAAACAAAGTAGCTTTAAGAAGCAAAGAGACAAACACGAACTTCGCCTCAAGTCCAAGGTTTGTGGGTATACGGTCATTTATTTGCATTACTTGCGATTTTGAGGAGGAAAAAAGAGCAAACGAGGAAAAGAGAAACAAAAGAACCCTATTATGAAATAAATGTTGTTTTAGAATAGCAAATAGTAGCTATATTATAGTTTATTCGTTCGAAATGATGGTCACCCAATTTTTTCCGTTTAGTTTATTCCTCGGCAACACTGACCTCTAACTCTTCTACGGCTGGGTACTCCACATTGTAGCGCAATACAACTTCCTTTGTTTCTCCTAAAGTAAAAAAATATATTTTTAAATTAAATTCTGAATTAATTGTTTATTTAAAAGTTAAATTAATTAATTTATTTACCAGCATGAAGGTCAAGATCCCACTCAATGTTGTGATTCTTATTCATTCGAATCGGCTTCTTTCTGTCGTACTTCTCAGGATTCTTGATATTTGGTTCAATTAGGCTCACCTAAAAATAAATAGATAACTAAAATTTATTTACAAAAGATTAGCACGCGATATCGCGGCTTGTATTTTGGCCCTAAGGTCATTAGCACTTTTAAAATGTAAAGTACAAATTGTTAGGGATTTGAATTCAAATTCACTTAATATGGTTATTGATTTATTAACCTTGATTTTATCTTCACCACTGGAAGGTAGTTGGTCTACGACCATGACGCGAACAGGTCGTTGGAAAGTGTTGCGAACATCGATAACTTGTTTGAAGCTCACTGTGGCCTTCTGTCCGGAAGCATTCTCCTTCGACTTGAACATGGGTCGATAGACCACTTCAATTCCAGATTCCGCACCAAGATCACATGAAAGATCTTCTCCTGGAGCTACAGCTCCAAGCTCAGACTGAAATGCAAAGTAAATTCTTGATTGGATTATAGGCTCCCAAAGTAAGTATTTGCTTTTAACAAAAGAATTCAGCCCATTTGTGAAAAATCAATAAATGATCAAAGACAATAAGTTAAGTTTCCAATAAACGAATTAATACCCTTTTAAGATTTTTTAGAAACCAAATCAATTCAAGGTCGATTTATTGATTCTCATAAGTGTCTCCTTGACATCTAGGTAATTTTTTTCGCTTTAGGTTGTAAATAAAAACGTAATATAATACATAGCTAATGCAAAAATGTCCTAAAAATGATGCATGCTTTCTAGTATTGAAACGGAAATCTCACTCCTAGAGAAGCCGTCTCGTCTTCCTATGATAAAATAACGAGCCTATTAATCATGAGAGGAATTATGAATTTTATCTGCTTTATTGGCATTCCAATTATTCATAAATTGCACCATAGTATCGATTACCAAAAATGCGGCGAATAAGTAACTAAAAGAGTCACTTCACATCATTGTTGGTAGAGAGAAGGAAAGAAACTTTTCCCAAAAGTACTACACCTATTGGTGATCCTTAACTTATCGCCCTTTAATCAACCCCCCCCCCCCTCGTCTTGTACTTTCCCACACATCACGGTTGTAAAGCAGCGCATAATTTGTAGCCTGATCTGACGTATTGTGGGTTGGATCAGTCTCTATTTACAAATCATGAAATTACTCAGAAAGTTTACATGCCAGTCATATCTTATACATTGCTATCACGGTTATTGTAAATCTAATTTAACATTCTTAACAGAATACGCTTATTCATTAATGTATTTTTCCATGATAAGGTGATAGAAGTATTTCCCTTTGAACTTCAGAGAATTTTCGCTTGTCAACAAGAACTGTGAGATCTCCAACGTGACAGCAGTCTGACCTGCCCCGACGTGTGCCTTATTTGATGCCACTGCCAATAATTCAAACTTGTTTTTGTCGGCACCTTGTCTCTCACTCTATTCATATTGAAATATTTAAGAGATGCAAGTTGAGCACAAAATCCAAAGCATTGAGTCTAAGTTCAGGCCTATTTACAGCGTAACTGTTGACAATAGAACAGCCACTTGAAATTAATTCTGATCAGGCGTCTTGTCAAGATAGTAGACATGAGTAATCACTTGTAATTATAAAATACAAAAATTACTTCCTTACGCTCATCATCTAATCAAGAGACTCTCTAATTAGCAATACCCCCATAAAAACACCCATTTCAGCATAAGTGGCAAGCAATTTCCTTTTTTAAACTTTAAAATTCAATCAATAACCAGACATTTTAGGAAGCTGGAATATGAAAAGAACCCACATGAAATTAACTTTCACAATTAAGAATGCATTTGAATTGCGTAATGATTTCACAGATTTACCTTGCCAATGAAGGTATTGTCTGAGTAGATGTTAGTCTGCCCAGGTAGAATGTAGAAATTGCTTGAGTTCTTGACATGAGCTTTGAGGAAGGCGGAGAGAGATCGTTTGGGGACAGTGACGTAGTCGTAGGTAGGTTGAAGGTCAATTAGACCCACCGTGACACGAATTTCCTCTTCATTGCAAGGCACCAGCACTGGAGGCCTTGGAACCTCAAAGATCACTGTAGCAACAGATTGAATCGAAGCGGGAGCCGCCTTTCCAACTGGAGTATTTTGAAGTTCGCCCGGAGGCGCTGCACTCATGAACAGACTCGTCCCAAGAGCTTGTCTTGAGGCGGCACGGCTGATTGATGAATTGCGAAGAGTTGCACCTCCAGTTTCATAACTCGTAGCCCGTTGCAAAGTGTTCATAGGAGTAGAGCCCACACGAGGGGACTGAAACAAAACAACCGATTGAATTTAAACACACACACACACACACACTCAGAAATTTGATAGACCTCCCCACACACTATTTCCTAAATTAGACAAAGGTGGGATTTGTTAGTGATCATGATACGAGAAGGTGATTGAAAATAAACCAGTCATTAGTTCCATCATAATTTTGGGTCGTGACAGTAAATGGTGTTTATGCTACCGCACGCAAGTACTAGTCTCGAATTTCAGCCATAAAATTTAAAGGGCTTTGTTTGGCTCCTTTTACTTACCTGTTACAAAGGACACAATGCTATTAAAAGGTGTGGATACTTTGTAGAGTTATTGCCTCACTAAATAACAATTCTATTTTCGTGTTGTTAATTTATTAAATTCTCCTCCTTCAGCAAAGTTACCATTGTTAATAATTTAGTAACTGGTAAAACGTAACAATTTAGAGCGTTAGCTCTAAAAAACATTCACAGTTCTCTTGAAAATTCAGTGTGTGTGTGAACGAAATGGATTATTAGTCTATCGAGCTAATGCGCACATGCGAATGTGTTAAGTGCTGATTTTGTTAGGTGCTTATTTCTCAAACCTCATCAAAAATTGATGCTCTGTTCCTTGAATTCGACCTCCTTAACCTCGTGTTATCTTGCGACATCGAGGATGTACGAGACCTTGGCAGAGTGGCCACCAAGTAGTTGCCAATAATAGCCACATCCTCTTCTGGAATATACGCAGCATTTGGCGATGGATACATTCTATCTATAGGAGGTGATTGAGGTGGTATAGGCGGGGGTTTGCGCGTTACAGCCGGTGAAGAATCGTACTTTCCAGTCTTCTTCTGTCGTTTAGATTCCATCAGAGCCTGCCTTAGAAGGAATCCTTCACTATGCGGGAAGGAGGGTAGATTAGATAATGGGTACCTAAATCATGGAGATGCTTGTCCAGAGTTGGGGAGAGGGGGGTGGGGGAGGGGGAGGGGGTGGAAGATTAGGGTAATCTTGTACTACTTCAGCTACTGAGTATGTGTGTGCGTGTACATGTTTAGGGGATCTCACCTCTTGAGTATGAGAGCCGTTTTCGTTGTGAGGAGGGTGTGCATTCGGTGCGCTGGGAAGCAGACGTGGCGTCTTACAACGTGAAGCTGCAGACACAGGCCGTGGTGGGCGGGAGAGAGAGGAAGATGCAGAGGACGCATTGACTAAAGTTGATTGGGGAGTGCTGTAGCGGTTAGCAGTTAGCCAAGGGGAAGGTGGTCAAGGGAAGGAGATCGGGGAGGAGAGAAATGCAAACGAGGTTAGTCAGAGTTTGCATGCCAAGGCAGGCTGCACTAAAGTATACCATTAAAAATTACGCAGGCATTCACTCATAATTAGCATCGTAATTGGCCATTTCATTCGTTGAGTGAGCACCGATGAGTATTGAGCCCCTAAACACCCCCACTTAGCAAAAGGCCATCATAACCGAAACACAGCAGAAGAAAGTCAACCTTTCCATTTGAAACTTCAAATTCTGAAGTTAATATAGACACCCTCGGTTAGCAACAATGCATTTTGTGTCAATTAGATTTTATCGTGGCGAAATTATCGCCCATGATATATTATCTTCGAAACTAAACTATCCATCAGCTAGACCGATATAACGATAGTAAGTTAATCTTTGTTTCATCATCATTGAGATTTAAATGAAGCATATTCGAAAAAGCAGGAAATTTGGGGCATAAGATCTTAAATACACATAATTTGAAAGTGACTAAAATGTTTGCCATCGGTCGTGGACAATGAAATTGTCAGTCAACCTTCGAATGATTGATGTTAGGAGTGCATAAAGTGAATGAGTAATTATGTGAGAAGCCTAATTCGAGAATCTTTAAGTTTTCAAGGTCACACACCTGATTGGTTTGCCCGATGGTAGCTAATGTATTTACTCATATATTAGAAGCTTCTATAGATCTATTTTTCAATGGAAAAGTGAATCACACATCCATCCAAATTGACTAATGGAAGTTAACTTTTTATTAAAAGTTTGCCTTAAAGACTTCCTAGTTAGCAAGTGCGCCTGACAGTAATTTGTAGAACACCCAACTTCAACAAAATTTGACACAGACAGTATAGGCATATAACAAAAAGTCTGAGCAATTCCAGACGGATAGATAATAAGTATTTAATGATAAACACCAAGGAGGGAGGGAGGGAGGGGGGGGGGCAGATGTGTTAGTTTAAGATTAGAAGTGTTAATTTCACAGCAAATAAAATACACAATTAGCGCACACGTGCAGTTTCATCACAGCTCCACTCGCTACGATTCCAGCCCTCATAGTATGATTGTTATTATTATTAGTGGTGCCTACCAAGCCCTAAAGTCTGCATTCCGACACAAAACTGATCTTACTGGGGATACGAGGGGGAGGGGGGAGGGGTGGGGGGAAAAGGCAGAATAGATCGACTTACGTCTGTTTGTAGTGCAGGCGCTGCAGACCAAGGGTGGGACAAAGTCCCTCAGAACTTGGCTGAGCAGTCGAAAGTGTCATTCTTCTGGGTTCCCAGTCTTCACCAGTCGCTTGCTGCACAAGACCATAGTAGATGATCTAGAAAGTAAAAAGAAAATTCTTCAGAGTAAGAATGCTTGAATTGAAAATGGGCCAATTTCAAATGGAATGGGCTCTAACAACTACCAGATCTTTCTAAATTCAGCTGACATTTACGTGAAAGAATCTAAACTGAACAAGTGGAAAAAATGCCACGTGTAAACAATAGAAGGACTGATTTGACTTTGACACCGATTTTGGGGCTAAAAATTGCTACTGGTGGAGAAATGGCGACTACGGTTACCTTCATGGATCCATCACTGTTGAAGAGGCGAATATCGTAGGCAGGTTTCCATAGACAACGACCAACGACATAGGTAATTAACATGTCCACTGGACCATCTTCGCGAGGTTCAATTAGGATACTAATTTCTCTGAAAATCAAAAAAGGAAACATTTACTTTAAAATAAAGTATATTAACTTCTTCTTAGAGTCGCTGACACGAGTACTTAATGTTTACGCAAAGCTATTTGAAATTGGTTCATTCTAGCAACAAAGACGTCTAATATAAGTAAACAACGCACTTGGGGTTTCGTTACAGTAAAAACTCTAAATGTACTGGTTTTGCAATTTTCTATTAGGTATTTTCCGTAATATTTCGGAATTTGAATGTCACGGTTGGAACGTTTGAATGTACGTCTTATCCTCCTGAATGATAACAATCAGGAGGGTATTCAAAATTTATTGACCGGCTTATTGACAAGGTCATTTGTTTCCTGTTGTAACTAGAAGCAGGTAGATAAGACCTATGGGAACCTACTTAACACAACAGGGCCTGTTAGTGGTAAAATTAAGACAGATCTTAAACATAAATTTTTGAACTCAACGTTGAATCAGTGGCATCCCCACAAAGTTTGATTATGTTCTTGTAATCAGTTCCAAATTCAACCTGAGAAGTCCACATGATTTGAATATTATTACATTGTAGCTTACAACAGTTCCTTCAACTGCTTATTATGATCTTGATAGACCAATTGAATTTTTCCTAGTTTTCATATCTCCCAGTCCCCCAATTAGGTCTCTGAATGACCACGACCCAATGGATAGCAAGGATCCACGAAATACTGAAAAGAGGTAGATGTTATTATTGACAGGTCTATTTTAAATTTAATAGGCCAATTTAGTATCAACTAGCACTAATTCGTGTCATCTCAGAAACCGTATTAACAGATGAGGTTCAAAAGGATTAATGGAGTAATTAGAAAGGAAAATAGGGTGCATTAGCTTGTTCCACAGAAGTGTAGAACAAAGAATGTGTAAACCTGTAAATACCGCATTATAAGTTTGTAAAAGATACCAAATCTCCAAGGTTAAGGAATTGCCCTAAAGACGGGATAATCGATTTAGTACTCAAGTGTTTCTAATAGTAGAAAGTTACGCTAACCCCCAAGACAAGATTGCTTTCATGAAACAAATCTTGGGGAATTGACAAAAACTGAACGGTTTTAATATTCATCAATATTATTCCCATTGATTTGTTAACAAAATTTATGGGGAGACTTTATAGAGGTCTGTATTAGTTGGGCCTGCAATAAAGTAAGTCAATTTTTCACCCCATATTTTTGCCAGTATTTATGATGCCAAGATTACAAGACGCGAACCTCGCGAAGGAAAACCCTTGCCAAATCACAAGTCTTCAGACAGTTACCTAATCACATAACAAGGGGACTATTGAAAAGCACAATTAATTGGAGGAACAAAATGCAATAAGACCTTGTCCAACTGGCGCATAAATCATTAATCATTCATTTTCTTCTTTAGCTCCGACAATTCGTCTAATCACGAGAGATGGGAGAATGGATGTGGTTAAATCATCATAAGACTTAATGAGCAATTTTTCCCTAGCTGTACTTTTAATAACGCCTTACAAGTGATTTTGGCATATTAACAGTTTTTTGCTATTAATTTCAAACTCTCACTGAATTTCTATGAATTAATTAAGAAATCACTTGGAACCCAAGTAAACGGGCATTTAAGCCCATATCTTAATTGATGAATGTAGCTGGTTAGTTGAGAAAATGTTGTACCAACTAGGGGTGTCTATGAGCAAAAAACACTACAGCAAACAGACAAGTTCAGACTGAATTGCAGTGCAATTAGGACCTGATAGAAGGAAATAGTGTTTGTCAAATGCGTTCTGAAGTAAAATGTACACACACACACACACACACACACACACACACGCACACACACACCGAAAGTCATTTTTACTAAAGTGCAGTCGTCCGGGATATAAATTTGCTCTTTTAAACTGACAAGTGCAAGTAGCATGTTATTTGGCTCCAGTGGGAAAGGACGCTGTCAACTATTGCACCTTCTGCAGATCTTAAAGAAAGAGACTCAAACTGGAGCTCTTGTCTCACTTCCCCTTCACTCATACAATTGTCAAACCAAACCTATGTGCCTAGTCTTGCTTAAATCATATCAAGTTAAATAATAAAGAAATGACGTTAAAATAATAATCACTAATTTGCAAATCACTGAAAGTAAGGCTCTTTAATGGGGCGATTGTTGAAAATGAAATTCGTTTCACTTTCAGACTAGATTAGTTTGATGCATTACCCTCCATTTAGTGAGTTTTAAATTCTAAGCCAACCAGACATGGAGGTATATCCACTTGAATTTAAATTCTCCGTTCTTATTTCTGGCACCCATGAGATAAGGTAGATCGTTTACTCCCTTCTAATAGAAAAAATATATTCAAAAAATTTTTAAGAACAACAATAACCCAGTTCATTATGCTAACATACATTCCACACAAAATATCTGAGTTTTAGTAAATCTAATATTCGAAAAAACATGTGTGCACATTTTTTTCACACTTTTGTGGCACTCCAGCAACCTTGAAGTACATAAGGGCGCCTTGAAAGCTACAAGGATTTCGGCGGATTATTTTTCGCTCTCGTAAGCGTTAACCACTTCCAACCCTTATGCCTCATTTTAATGCAACTTTGAAATTTAAAATCATATTCCCGCTCACCGAACCAGGTTGTTGTCTTGGCGTTTCTCGAGAACAGCCAACTCCTTTTCAATCTGTTCAGCACGATCACGAGTTCTGTCTAACTCCTCCTTTGACGACAGAAGACTACTATCCAAACGTTCAGCTTGATCTTCATACATGGTTAAGAAGCGTTGAAGAGTATCCATGTGAGTTGGATCATATGGATTGGCCTGATTATTCAACTAAAGTTCAAGAAACGAGAGACGGAGATCATATAACTGGTCACATGTTAAGAATTTAAAAAAATGGGCACATTAATCATTTCTCTGCACTGAAAGAATGTTAAATTGAACCATTTAGTGTTCTAGTTCAATTAAAGAAAGTACACATCCCTTTATGGTCAGTGTTAATTAATTCAATTAAATTGAGATTGTATTCTGTTCAGATGTAATTCGAAGTGCTCCCAAAACCGGATGCTGCAATGAGCCATAGAGAAAACGCAACACGAGGGAGTATGGTTTTAAGAACTTGCAAAGGGATTTTGAGAAGGATCCAAAATTCTTTGCTTTAAAGCAGCAAGCCATGCAATTTAATTGAATAGAGCAAAGAAATGCCGGGGAAAGTGGAATTCCATCGCCTGCTTTGTTAACCAGAATTAGCCAGCACAGTTTGGGATTCACATTATTAATGACCAACTGACCACTTACTAGACAATCATACGGCCCGGCCGTTGTGCGTTGCTTAAAAATGAAAATGTCGACCTTAAAACAGACAGTAAAATGATAATTTTCTCCTCTAGACAGCACTAGGAATTCATAACAACCTTGAGACGAGATGGACGAGGCCAGTCAAAGGTCAAGAGAAGTAACGGATGATCATGTGAATTTCCTGTCAAACGATAATCAGCAATTTTACTTTGATGGCAAATGGTTGCTGTCTTTAGCATAAAGATCATCCGCCACTTGTATTGGCTGAAGGCGATGGGATATAAGTCATGAAATCGATGGATGTTGTAGTAATTGACAGTGGAATTACGTAACAGCCTATTATACAGAATTGGCACTATTGTAAACTGGGGGGGGGAGAGAATTTTGCCACACTATCACACCCAGAAATACAAGAGAGGAGTTATTCACAGCATTCGGTCCCACTCTGGCGTCTCAACTCGAAACAACTGCTTCAACAACCGCACTGAACAGCTGTTGTCTACTACTGTTGATAACAGTGGCCACAACCATACCTCCTTCCACTCATCCACCCTAATCTTGGCATTGTAAATATTACAAAGTGGAAATAAACTGGTAAACATTTGCGTATAAACATTAACTCACTCCTTGAAACCTTTGACGTGTATATAGCACGATAGTTTTGATTTTAAAATATGAATTAACTGCAATGCGCATCTCATTACCACCAATTTCACCTCTTCTGACTTGTTTCTGAGACGATTGTTTATAAAAAATGAACACAGTAACAGACAGGTGGTTGGTGATGATGATGATGATGATGATGATGATGATGAAGTGTATTTATTGCAGTGGAAATTCACATTACTTAATCTAATTCCTGTCTTGTTTTAAAACAGGTGCAACAATAAGACGTTGCCTCAGGCATTTTGGTTCGCTCTTTTACACTGTGCTAATGAATTCCGCCTGATTTCTGGGAGGAAATTCAAGTTCTTGACATTTCTATGCTAATATATAATGTGACTCATCATTCACACCAAACAAAACTTACATTCTGAGGAAGGCTAGACGAAAAATGCAAAAAAGGGATGAAGCCAATTGGACGTCTCAAGGTGTCTGCTACTCTGAACTTGATTTTTGGTAACTGCATATTATTTATATTAATTTTTTGCAAATTTAACTTACTTGAACCCGACATAATGCCTAGTGAATGAATGAAACAAGGCATTTGAAAGGCTGAATTAAGTTAAGAATCCACTCACACACAGGAAAAACATTATATTGGGATTAGTTACAAAAATTGAAGGGCAATTGTGATAACAAATTAAGAGGCGACGAGCGTAAAATTCAGCGTGAAGTAGTGGAACGATTTCACTGGCTGTCCACAATAAATCAATGGTAATTAACGTCCAGCTGTCATGGAAGAGGGGGGTAGGTATTGCAAAAAATATTCTTATAGAGGGGCTTTCTTTTTCAGGCTTACCAGCGCAATTACTAATAAATGAAACATGCAAGTGATGTTCGCCAACATGTGATTGGGAGGAAAAGTATTTTAAAATATTGCAGCATTTAATCAACCAGAAACAGATGTAATTTAAACTTCGTCACAGCAAAAGCCGAGTCTCCGTTGGCATAAGGAGCCAACGACACAAGGCCATAGAGCTTATAAATGTCTGAACGGTGAGAAATACACCCAAGGTTGACTTCGAACAAAATAACACAGTTAGTTCAGACCACCCTATCGTCATAACCACCGTTAGTAAATATATTCACCACAAGAATAGTTTCGTTAAAAAGTTAAAAGTCGACTTTGGAGTAATGGCACATATGCCTTGGCTTCCCTCTCTCTCTCTCTCTCTGAGTTTGCATAGACTATGCCCTGAAGAAAATCTAGTGGAAGGATACATTGTACCTGGTGAACTGAATCTCCAAGCAGCACTACAGCATAGAAGCCTCATACTTAGGAAAGTAGAGAAAGATGGAATTATAAAACGATGATTAATTTTCCAAACTCTTGATTATTGAAGAGTGAATCAAGTTATCGCATATTATAAAATTCAAGCCATGTGAAATTCAAGGCCACAGCTTCTGTAATATAATACTGCAAGTAGATGCTTAAGCGCAGTTCGAATTTCAAGAACAATTCTCTTCTCATGTTCCCTTCGCTATAAATAGATTAATATTATTAACCTATCGTGTTTGCATAAAAGAGCGACATTTTGACCATTCCGTAGATCAACTGTTAGAGGACGATGGGACTCTGATTTAACAGGTACCATATGCCAATCTTTGCCCACACCATTTTACCGCATAAATAAAAGGCCGAGCAATCAAATTGGCCATAGTTGATGACTCATAGCACAGGACAGCGCTATTTCTAAGACGGAATCAATATGTCTCCATCACGTTGTATAGAGTTAATAGAACCCCCCACAGAGATTCAACCGCCATTAGCAAAAAATTGTATATCTTGAAAAATTCCTAGTACGAGTGCAGTGTGGGCCCTGAATGTGTGCGGATAAGGTCATGACCCCAGGCAAGGTGTAAACAACCCAGCGGCTGTTGATGTTCCCTTCTGACCTAGCCAGTCAGCAGTGTTAATTTCCTCTCTCTCCGTTGAGGTTTGACATTTTGTGTTAATTCAATTTTTTTCAGGCAGATATTTTGACAGAGATAGCACGCTCCGTAAAAAAGCCACTGCTGTAAAACATAGACATCAATATGGATAAAGTTAAAAGTACACACTTTTTAGGGAAAACGAGACCTACAAGACCCGTAAATAGCACCGTTGCTTGGTAATGTAGGCTTGAATCACTCAGACCTAAAACTCCTAGAGGATGCCTAACACTTAGGTCAGTTTTTAAGTTACTCCCATGCATTTTCATGAAGGGGCTTAGCCACAATCGCCGTGACCCTGGTAAGAAATTCGTAATCCTTTGGCACAGTGTCAGCCAGATCTAACGAGAGGTCCATTAAGCTTTCCGTCAATAAGTTTTGAAAAGTTGGATAGACCAATTTTACCGTCTCTATAACCAAATGCAAGACTTAAAAAGTACGTAAAGGTGTTATTTGGATAAGTAAAAAGGAGAAAAATGAATCTTCCTCGAAAATGTTCTGCGGTAGATCATTATTTGAATGTTGTACTCATATCTAGTTTCGCCTCCAAGTAACATGCCAAAATCACGGGATTTCTCTTATAGATTCCTAAAAATGACCATTTGCAAGTGAATATTCCGTATAAACTCTCAATTCCCCTGGTGTATAATTGAAGTACTCACAAGTTGGCCAAAATATTTCCAATTCTATCGACACATTTAGTGGAAAAATGATTTAATCGACGGCGAGACTGATGGGCTGTAATCAACTGAAATATTTTAATATTATATTTCCAAAGGCACTGCCATAAGATGGTAACGAATGTAAAAAGGAGCAATGAATCTTTGAAAAGAAAAAAATGAAGTCGTTGAGGTGAGAGGCAGACAATGCAGAAATGTTAAATTAAGTACTTTTTACCCCGCGGTTTTCGCCTGAGCAAAGCCATAAATTGCGAATATTAAAATCAGCTGCAAACGGGTTAGAGATGCAAAACCAAGGTGAATTGATGATTACCTGGCCATATTCCCAGTCGTCCTCCATATTTTGGAGACTACCATATCTTGTGTTACTCGAAAAGCGTTTTGAACGACGCTTAAAGAAGGAAGGAAAGAAAGAAGGATCTTTACTTGTATTCCATTTCGTGGTCTATTTTTGCCAGATATTAAGAGCCATACCAAGAAATGCTTATTCACATACCATGCTGGTAGACAATACGCCCCATAGTCACAACGTTTGAGACCTTCTTGGGTCGATACTTGTCAATATGAAAAGGGCTTTTTTCCCAATTAAACGATCATCAATTTTGCTATCAATCATTGACATCCAGACATGCACATAGTGGAAGTTCATAAATGCTCTTGGCACTAAGCGCATTTATGTGTTGTGGCATAATGACCTTTTAAGGAGATTGACTCATACGTGTTCTCAAAAATACAGTTGGCGAGTATCCTAACCTCATCAACAATTCGCCTTTCAGCTGCCACACCTCAAGTAGGTGACTAGGTGCTTGTACTTTAGATTACGTATTTACTTAGCTTCAAGCAGCTAATCAATGCATTCTAAAGGACAAAGGTCACTCAATGCTTCCTAAGCTTCCCGCATCTGTCCTACACTGCGAGCAACGATGGGGTCAAATTCATTTGATAAACAAAAATAACACACGAATTATTAAAGATCATTCAAAATATTGAAGAGGTGTTTGGCTTCCTTTTTTGTAAATGTCAAAGGGGATAGAATTATTGGCTAAGCATTCCACCTGAACTTTTCATCTCGTAAACGACATTATCCCACTCCCGACAAACCACCCTTAGTGGAGCTTTTGAAGGCGATAATTCAGAACAGAAGATGGAGGAAATCATTTTGCTGTTATGCAAGGAAAACCACACATTATTTCGCCAAAAAAACCTGAGATCGATCGATATTTATCCATATAAAGGCTGTTAGTTCCGTGGAAATGAAGATTGCTACTTTCAGCTAAATATAATACCATGAAAAGTGACCTTTTCAACTTGGAATTGGTTTGCTAAAAAGGCGAACTATATTTAGTTCCTTCTTACCACCGTCACAAGTTACTAATCGCCTGTTAAAATCAACTATCTTTGATCTTCCTTCTCCTTTGTTTACGCTACTGAAAAGCAACTGTCTGAACTACCTATCCAAGTATCGTCTTAACAAAGTTAAGTACGTGCTAGTTTTAAGTTTATATGTGTAAAATTGAATTCAAGTTAATAAGAGGCGACATGTAAAAGGTTCAAGACATTGGAATATACCTCAGACATTGATCTCTTCGCTAGAGTTCCAGCGTAGTTGTCTTCCAATTGTAACTTCTTACTATGTTTGTCATGTTTCTTATCGTGCTGAGGTAGAGGAGGTGGTTGTTGAGGTAGAGCAGCAGCGAAGACTTCTTCCTCAGTTTTCTTTGTCATTCCATCAGCGAATGTATCAAGAACACTGCGTTGCTTCTCTAAGCGCGCCAGACGACCATTTAGAGCCTCAATTTGCCGATGGCATTGCCGCAACTCGGTCTGCAAGTCCCAAATCTTTTGAGTCCAAGTCTCCTCAAGATGGGGAATTGTGCGGGCACTATAGGCAACGTCAAGAATTGTGGCGGCACCGCGCAGTTCAACTCTATGAATTTCAAACAAAAAAAGGTAGTTGGAGACTGGCATCATTTTTAGGTGACGAGTAAAAATCTATCGCATTTCATAATCGAAAAGTAAGATATTGAGAAGTTAACTTCGAATTTGAAAAGGTACCATTTCGGGCGCAAAATAACAGAATGAGAGTCGACTAACAACAACGTCTGATTACTGATATTAAATTGGTTAACTTCATACAATAAGCATCCATTAATATGTTAACCGCGCATATATATTTTATAAAATTGGAATCAATACATCACATTTGTATCATTCAAACTATTTCGATAATGTAAACCTAGACGACGTAGTGCACCTTTATTCCTCCATATCTACAATCATGCACTTGCAGGAGGCTGTCTCTGTTGGAGAGTTAGGCTTGCAACCTACGCCTGCAAAGGTGGTATTTTATTGTGCAGAGAGGAAGTCTAAAGTCGAAATTCTAAAGCATTAGAGGTTTTTTTTTCAGCCATCTTTCCTCCTAACCATAAAAGGGAAATGTGCAAATGTCAGGGGGGAAGAGGGGAGAATGGTCTAGGAAGAAATATAAAATCGATGAGGTCTCGAAACATTTTTGCTTATATCATGAGATTTTTAGAACGAATTTACCAGTTAATCATATTGACAGGCTTATTATTGATAAAAAAATCGATTTAACGCTGCTGACCTACATTGCAACCAATTGAAAATTAATTGGATTTATAAGCATGGAGTAAGTGAAAAAGAAAGATAAAAAATGGCCAGTTCTATGGATAGATTTACTCCTAATCAATAAAATAAAGACACATAAATTACATTTGCAGACTTTACCCGCCTATGTAGTGTTTACATTCTTTGCTGCCGACAATTCATGGGTTTTAGGTACTAAATTAAATAAATGAATTGTTTAATTTTAGTTGCTTATGGACGTATGATACGTAAACAAAGAGTGATTTGCTAAAAATCTTGTGGTTTATTGATAAACAGAGGATTAGTTGTAACTGAAACCCAGTTAAGCATCTCTTTCATATGTAATTTCATATGTATTGTGGTTGTAACAACTTCGCATGTTTTTATGATTCAAATTACACAGGTTCGTGCAAAACTGCTCAAACATCTTTGTACGTGAGCAGAAACAAAGCCATTTCCTTACTCAAAGATTATTAAGATAAAGTGTTGAATTTATAGTCAATTTAAGGGCTTATAAAGTATACTTTTCACCTGATTTCTGCTAAAATGGACTGAGTAGACTTGACAAGTGTGCATATAGGTAAACTTCCTTGAATAGACGTAACTAATATATTACATATGATTACATAGATTGTAAGTACATTTCCACCTAATTAACTAAAAAGTTTATAGAAGTAAAATTGAAAGAAAATAGTTATAATATCAAAATTCAGTTCAATGCAAGGAAGAAAGAGTACGATATGGAAATCAAGCATTAAATGAAGAGGAATACAATTATAACTAAAAAATTAAAGAAATTGTTCATTAGATCACCACAATTAGAAATGCACGTTTGTACTGCAAGTTTATTTAAAATTAATTTGTACTTTGTTTAAAGGAAGGTACATTTACGACAGATTGAATTAATCACTTGCAAAAAAAGTAAAGTGCGTTTTCCCATAAAAGAATATAAATAAAAGGCAGTCTGTTTCACACCTTGCATTTCCCCTAACCTCAACTTGTCATTATGCGTGCAATTCCAAAATGTTGCTTTCAAAAAGACGCACAAAATTTGGTTTTGTTGAAAAGGTTTACCTGATTGAGTCCTTGTCGATTGCAGAGGAGACATTTTCAAAGAGCATCTCCACAATCTCTCCAGCTTTGAAGACAGGCGTGATTGTTCGGACCAATTCCGCTCTATCTGTGAAGACGGTCACATGACTAAGCTGAAGGTCAGGCAGGGCAAGGGTTTGTCTGACCTGGGCAATTCCAGCCGGGGCATTTCCCCTACCCTCACGACTTCCGCCTGCACGGCTTATCGTATTGTCAGTTGACCCCATTTGACCACTAGGGGGTCGGTGGGATGCATAGCTTGATCCGTTCATATGAGCACCTATATTCCTTTCTGAATAATTGCCACCTTGGTTGGTTGGTTCCATATCAGATAATCCAGCCCTATGGTGACTTTGTGGAGGCTGAGCTTGCAAGGATCCGACAATGCTAAAATGCGAAGGGAGCTATGAGAGTTCGACAGCTAACACAAAGGGGGGTGGATAGAGTTTAATGATACGCCGCGCTATCGTTTATAGGATGATATTATGTGCGTGCAGTAGTGTCGACCCTGGCTGATTTGATGTGCATTTAGAGGCAACGAGACTCGCTTTCGATTGGTTAAGGAGCTGGCTAAAAGCTTGTAGGTGCAGTATGCGTGCGGATTGCTAGGTGCCTCCCCCCCCC